TCTACATATATTTTCGAATGATCAAAGGTCAATTGGCCAAAATCAGGGATCTCTGTAAAGGCCACTTAGTCTTTAGAAGGAATAAGCTAGTCATTTCGATTCTGCATGATTTTATGTAAGTCATGACGGAGGTTCGTACTCACTCCAAAAAATTAAAATTCTGAGTTCTCATAAAAGTGATTTTCCAGAGGATTTCTGGAAAATCTTCGAAGATTTGGGTGAGTCGGTTGATTCTTACATGCTTGAATAGCCCCAAAGGTCGTATTCTCAATCGCGAAAACCTGACCTCGGTAGATAGCAACGGTCGTGAGTAATTCAAAATGCAACCAGCTACATCCTATTGTGAAATGGATAGTAGACACATATTTTCCAATCGTCGAAAAGTTGCAAGGACTTTTTAGTTGTGTCTAGTTTGGGCTTTTCTTTCTTCTCATATAGCTTCTGGAAGAATATGACTGCCACAAAATTTATAGTTTAAATCGTGCTCTTTCCAACAAAAAATAGTTGATCCTCTTTGATGTTCCTAAGCGAAGAACCATATCTCGACATTGCGACAATTGCTTCTGCATCACAAGATATTCGTCGATAAGGCAGTTTACTGCAAAAGAAAGATAAAAGACGAACATGCATCGAAAAAAGACATGAAATAAAAAAAATCCTGCGAATTAAAATCTTGTTTTATTCAAAAACGAAGTCGAAAAATTCTTATAATTCAAAAATCATTTATCTTAAATACAAATTCATCTTCATATATTTTTTTATTTGTTCAAGTTCGGCCAGACATTGAAGAAGGATTCTTGTACGGAGCTTTGATTTCACAGTGGATAAATTCTCTACGAACACCTCAATCAATCGGTATGTAAATCAATGAAAGATTTATAGAAATAAATAAAATTCATAAAATTATTTTTTTATGTTTTAGCTCAACATGCAACTCTCTTTGAACAAGATCTTTGTCAATTGATCGAACAAATGAAAAAATTCACTTTTCTTGTTATTTATGGGCAAATTCAACCTGATAAAGTTGAATCTTATCGTTTAATGGTTCAAACTCGTTTCCCAAATACTCGAAGCGTTGTCGAAAGAACAAGATTTTGTCTTTGGCTTTGATTTCTTATTTTTATTTGTAATAATATGCATACTAATATAGTAGCAATTATAATACACTAGACGGCTTGTCGTTTTTTTGTTAATATTTAATAAACTATAGAATATTTGTAGAGAGTAATTAAATGATGGTATAGACTCTTAAAAGAGAAGCAAGAACGAAATTCATAATATGCTAATATGCACCTGAATGTTGTTGTAAAGTAACATCGGAAAAAACAAACGAAAGATGAGTAATTATAGGTTTCCAATACTTGTCTATTAACTATCTATAATAGTAACCAAAATTACAGGATCATCTATTTAAACACAATTGTTTGCTCTTTTTCGATCATTCTAGACTTTTAGAAAAGAATGATCTTTATGATTACATGCATTCAGGTAGGCTCTAGTTATATATGCAATCGCATGTCACCAAGATTATTGTCAAAGTGGAAAAAACGAAATTTTTTTTTAATAATGTTTAGATTATTGTCGGATTCAATTTATGGGACTATTATCGTTGTTTCATTATTCATAAATTAGAGACAGATGTTTACTTTGCTTGATAATCATAAAGGCAGATAGACAATCTTCTTTTGAGTATTTTTATATCAAATGAACTCTGTGAAAATAATCTAACCATATTCAATTTTAAAATGAAATTATATAGAACTAGACAAAATGACTTGAAAATCTCGTTTAAGTTGGGTGTGGGTGTGGGTGTGGGGTGTGGGTGTGGGTGTTGGTGTGGGTGTGGGTGTGGGGTGTGGGTGTGGGTGTTGGTGTGGGTGTGGGTGTGGGGTGTAGGTGATGGATAGAAAACACCCACACCCACACTCACACCCTCCAATTAACATATTTAATAATCGTTGGTCGAGTATATATTCACCATACATAGCTGTGAATATATTATATATCGTCACTATCAATTTTGCGTGAAATTTTTTAAAGAAAGCTGTTAGGCACAATACCTGCAGAATTAAAATATACCATACGATGTAGCTGCTATTGATAATCATAGAAAGATTGTTTTATTCTATCTATTTTAGTAGGCATTTCTTCACCATCGCTTTACTTAATTATCGAGAAATGCGATGATAGTGTAGAGTATCAAATTGTTGTTCCATTCATTTTTAGTCACTATTTATATTCCAAAAATTAGATAATTGAAATGTTTGTCATTGTTTATTTATTCCATAGTTCTACTCAACAAGATAAGAAAGAAGAAAAAAAAATTCGTATTGATAAGATATCATATTGAGAGAAAAAAAACCCACTAACTGCAGTGAAGCCTTTTATTATCCAAATTTAATATCATATGACTCTCTTGTTTATTTAACACGTTGCGAAAAAATTGAATTGATTAGTAGAAGAACTATGAACATAAAAAACAATAAAAAAACCTGGATCAACTGTATAAGAACTCTATGAGATTTATTTTAGTCGAGATAAATGACTTGCAAGACAATATTTCGCGTTTGGTTTCCATCGTCTTTAACGAAAAGTAAAATTTTTTTCAATTTTGTTGGCAAAAATGTTTTTTTTACATTATATCTAAAGTTGAGAATGCATTAAAGCTTTAACTGAATTATTGATAAACTATATCATGGTGATTTTTTCCTTCGCAAGTTTGTTCCCTTTCAAATTGTATTTTTTCAACTCGAATTCAAATTTTTTTTTTGGCATTCTTTCGTTAAAAACATATTAATTAAAAGACAACGACATAAACGAAACAAATTTACTATTCAAAGTTTCACTTCAATATCAACGAAATAAGAAAAAAAAAATTATGGCAACTTTGAGAATGTGGATATGTGGTGCGGATGAATGTGAATGTAGTTATCCCTTAACTCACACACACACTCACATCCACTCAACAATAAAATTTCTCTTTGAATTCTTCCCAGTCAAAAAAGCAGACAAGAAAAAGATAGAGAAAGAAATTTGTATATGTTGTAGCTTGTGAAATAGTCGTCTTCTTTCTTTATGAAACAGAGTCAACAACATATTCAAAATTCAAGTAACAAAAAGATAAAGCAAGTGATATCTTTCTTCTTTTTTCTTCATCGTGAGATACTGTTTTTCTTTTGCTAAAAAATTTGAAGAGACAACGTTTTGTTAATGTTAGATTTGGATAATGATGGAAATACCCAAAGACTCCACGAATTCTGCATGGCAAGTCGAAAAATCACCATTTGCCGATTATTTTTCAAGTGAATTTCCTAAGGAATCTAACATTGTCATTATCGGCACCGGATTCACTGGAATTTCCATTGCTTATCATGTTTTAAACTCCTCTTCTACGTCATGTGTAACGTTGTTGGAAGCAAGACAAGTATGTTCCGGCGCAACTGGCAGAAACGGCGGGCATTTGACACCTAATATTTATTCTAATACACTCTCGCTATTATCTAACGGATTTTCGCCTGCTCAAATTGTTCAATATGCACAATTTGAAATAGATAATTACGAGGCAGTTGTGAAGATTATTAGGGAGGAAGAACTAGATTGTGAATTTGTTCGTAAAGAAGAGTATACCATGGCTTTCTCTACAAATGAATTCGAAGATCTAAAGAAGAATGTAGAAATGATGAGAAATATAGGAGGACCAGTCTCTCATATTCGAATCTATCAAAATCCAGAAGCTTCAAATATGGTTGGAATGAAATGTGAAGGACTCGTCGTCCATACAAATTGTGCATCTATACATCCTTATAAAATGATGACTGGTCTTTTGTCCAATTTATTCAAAAAGTTTGGAGATAGAATTAAATTGTTTACTCATACACCGGTTGAAAAGGTCGAAAATAATACGATACATACGAATCGAGGAAGTATCATTGCTGAAAAGATTGTCTATGCAACAAATGGCTATACCTCCATCTTACTCCCTCAAATGAAAGATATTATCATTCCAGTTCGTGGACAAGTCATTCAATCGAGTCCAGTTGATAGATTTATTCCAAATAGTTCATTCAGCTATAGTGGAGTATATCTCTCTCAAAGACCCACCAATAAATTAATTATTGGAGGTGCCCGTCACTTCTCACCTACTGCAGAAATCAACACAATAGATGACTCCAGTATAAATGAGAAAGTGAGCATCGAATTACAAAGGTTTTGCAAAAAGTTAGGTGGTGAAAGAGTCGAGATGGAGTGGACGGGAATCATGGGATTTACGAAATTTAGGATTCCAGTGGTTAAGGAAATTGATAGAGCAGTTATTTGTGCAGGATTCAGTGGACACGGGATGACGCGCATCTTCTTATCTGCAAAAGAAGCAGCAAGACTCGTTCTTCAGTTGGATGAAGCACAAATTACACCGTTTGGATTTGATCAAGTGCGGCCAGTAACATCTGATGATATCGGAAGTCGTAAACCTCTTCAATGATTTATTGTACCTATATTTCGTTTTATTCACATTTTTCTATTTTAACCTTTGTTGAGTCTTAGTTTTTTTTGGCGAGTATTTCATTTAATAATTCTTCTGTACGGGTATTTGGTCAAGGAATTGAACAATGGTAGTGATGATTACCAAGTCAATGAGGTCGTATAAATTCTGAGTGAGATAAAAACACGTTGCATATCCAAATATCATGTTGACTTGCACTTTGACTGTCATTTTGAAGTGCTAATTTCAGAGATCTCGATTCAGCTTGTCGAACTCTACGGTATAGTGTGCTCAGTTAATTCGACAAAGTCTTGAAAAAATGTTAGAAAAATGACTACGATTTTCAATGATGTGTCTGTTCGATGTATACACTCATACTTTGAGTTAGAGTGAAAAAACAGTAGAAGAATGATAAAAACGGGGTGTGGGTGTGGATGGGTATTGGTATGGGTGTGGGTGTGGGTGTGGGTGTGGGTGTGGGTGGATGTGGGTGCGTGGATGTGAGTGTTTGAAGAGACTATCAACACTCCCACACCCCACACCCACACCTTAACCACATATGTACACCTAATGTCCATTTCAGAGATAAATGGCCGTGGGTATTTTTCGAATAACTTTTGATAGGAATGAGATAGAGACCTGCGGTTTTCACCGTTGGAACGAGCAGATGAAAATGCATCGAACGATATATAGAAAGATTTTTCTAACGACTTTCCTGAAGGTTTTACGTAAAACTTCAAGAAAAACAGCATGCCTCCCATGATTGCGATATTAATTTATTGACTTTCAGGAGTGTACTAGAACCGCAAAATGAAGAGCTACAAAAAATTATGGAAAGGTTCTATTCCTAACTACTACCAATACGATATTCTAGCCATTGGAGTGCAATTCACCACCTAGTTTTTCAACAAAATAGTCGAAAAATGGAGGATTTTTGCGATATTTCGATAGAAAAATCACTTTTTTAACGTAGGAGAAAAACGCAATTCTTTGAAAACGTTTGACTAAAACCTTCAGGAAAGTTGTTAGAAAAATCTTTCTATATATGGTTTGATGCATTTTCATCTGCTCTTTCCAACGGTGAAAACTGCAGGTCTTTATCTCGTTCCTATCAAAAGTTATTCGAAAAATACCCACGACCATTTATCTCTGAAATGGACATTAGACTAGCAATCATCCCATAACACCAATGGCGTTCAAAATTTTCAAGTTTCAGGGGTTGGGTATCTTCATCATCGTATCCATTTCCTTACACCAAAAGTACTCAAAATTTTCAAAATTCAGCGGATGAGCATCCATTGCTACATTGAAGCTTGTTTGATGTTTCTGATGCTATGAATTTTGATACACGACTTTAGAATATTATAACATCCTTTCGATTAATATCGTAAGGTATCGCAAAAGCCAATCAAAAAGTATTAGAAGTTTTATTAAAAGGCCCTAAGAGTAGTGTCACTCTTTGCTTCGTGAAGTTCTGTTCACTTAGGCATTCTTTAGTTTTTTTAAATGAGTAAATCAACAAATGATAAAGCCTTAATGCAAGTTTTTCTTCATATAACAGAAAACGGTCGCTATCTTTAAATAAAAGCCCTTAAAAATTCCGTTCTTTCTTGATACTTTCAGGTAAGGCGATTTTCAATCCAAATGTATGGACGACTCTTTTTCAGAATTAGAACTAAATACATTCTACTTTTGATACACATGTCATTACCAACCAGAGCTAGAACAGACATTTCATGCAATGTCATTCGTCGGATGATCACTTTGATGCTAACCGCCTCGATCTTGACAACTTGTTGTGTGCATGCAAAAATTGAAACAGCATAGCATGTTTATTCAATTTCATTACAAAGAAAACTCACAAAGTACGTTGTTAAAGAATTGAGAGAACAAAAAATACGCACACTAGATATGTGTTTTTATTATATTTTCATTTTCTTCGAGTCGCCTGTGTAAGGCAACATTAGGTGAGTTGTTTGTAACAGCAATGAAGCAAAGCACAACAAACACACGGTTTTGCGTAGATGGTTGATCAGTCAATCAATACCAAGTTCAAATGCCGAATATGCGAGCCTGCTCTCATTACTCGTAAAAGAACTTCGTCTCATGATCGTGCATTCTATCGAGCAGAATATGAAACAGAATTGAAGAGTAATCATCGTTGTTCCATTCGCCGTGATGAATCTAGATTGCCTCTTAGTCTCGAATCAAGTGGTCGTATGTTTATCGATACGCTGGATCAACGTTCTTTTTTTTGTAAAATTTGCAATAAAACGAATGAAGAATACATGTGTAATAAACTCGATGGATGCATGAGTACGTCGTATCCAAAAGTTTCAATGCCGTATCTCAGTGAGGATTTCGAATGTGAACGAAGGAAATTGCGGGACGAACATCTTAGTCGGAGCATACGTTCTACTCTTCAAATGAATAGATTCATTCTTGAACGACCCATTACTCTTGACCAACGATGTAAACAACTTGAGACCGATAATAACCTATTCAAACAACAACTAAGTAGTCTGCATAAACGATCCGATCTACTTGAAGCCGAAAATCAAGAGCTTAGAACGCAGATGAATAAAATCACAACGGAAAATCAACAACATCAACAATCGCTACACGATCTTGACGAACGGTGCAACCAACTTGAGACTACAAATCAAAATCTTGGAGCACAGATCTACAATCTCAAGCAACAGTGCGATCTACTTGAAATCGAAAATCAAGAACTTAAAACGCAGGTGAACAATGTCACAACTGAAAATCAACAACATCAGCAAAAACTAAACGATCTTAATGAACGATGTAATCAACTAGAGACTACGGGTCGAGAGCTTGAAGCTCAGGTGAATAATCTCAGACAACAATGCGAACAATTTAAAACAGAAAACGATAATCTCCAGCACCAAATGATCAGTTTCAGCCAACAGTTCAAAGTCTATGACAGGCAACTGAATATATTATGGGCAAAAATAAGTGAGTGTTACTACGACGAAAAAGTTAGAAAGCCGCGACTTTTCGCACTGGCTGAGACTGCTTGAGAACTATCGTAACCCCATGCGGTAGTCTAGCGCATTGAAGATATGTGTTTAGTGGCTAACTCTAGTTCTTCAAGTTATGTGGCTCTTATAATGCGTTTTTGCGTATAGTGTTTCGTATAGTGTAGATTATAACTATACTTAATCTGATGTTACTCACACCCTCACATCACGCTTGTAGTATTACTGCAAATGCTAGTGATGTTGAGTGGGAGCTCGAAGAGAAAATCATTTGACAACTTCAAGTGTTTTTCTTTGTCTTTTATCAATGTTTCCCTGGTTAGTTTTTTCAAAAAGCATATTAGGTTATTGATGGAAGTATCTATCAGGGTGAGGGTGAGGGTATACATGGAAAGAAACCACATCGAGGTATCGTGAAAGTGGTCTTTTCGTGCGGGCAGATGTATCCCTGTCCCAATGACGCTAAACTCTGTGTTCATGTCGCGTGACACGGTTTTCAAGATCATAAAACTTCCCACTATCTCTGTGAAAATCTTCAGTAATCCATTCTTCTTCAATATGTGAGTGTAGCACAACAGCGATCGTGGGTTGAAGATGTGTGTAGGCACTCCCTGTTTGCCGAAAATTTTCCAGTTTTTGAAACAAGAGAACGGAGAAAACACGCTCTTTTCCAAGGAATCTAACGATCGAATAGATATGAACCGGGACATTATAAACCCCTGCTGTTAAGATCGCCAAGGTGATACATTTCAGTGTGCTGGAAACTTCCCTATGCTTCTGATCTTACTTGATCAATAGATGAATGAATTAAATAATTTTTTTATGCTACTATCTCTTTTAGATCAGAGTCCATCAAATGCTGACCAGAACGCACATGATGATCAAAGTAATTATATTAGTAACTTATGACATGTATGAAAAGTTGAGAGGGAGAGAGTGCGAGAAAAACAAATTTGCATGAATAGTTGAATTTCTCGTGAAATCGCTGTTGATAAACAAAACAGTTGAAAACATATTAGCACTAATTTTTGTTTCCTTCGACAAAAAAAAATAGGTATTCGTTCGGAAAGCGTGGCCGAAGAGAAACATGAACAGGACGAACCAATTGAAGAACAATACCACCTGGATACAGAGCCAATAACAGCTGAAGAGGAAGCTTATTATGAAAAACGCAAACACTATTATAATATTACACAAATGCCGCTAATGTCGGTTTCCGAGGACAGTTACGATGATGTCGAGTTAACATCGGCATCATTAACATTTTTTATAGATGAAGATTACAGTGAATTTGATATGAAAACGTTTTTAAATCAAATTTGCAAGATATTAAATATCGACAGAAGTGATATTGACATAATAAAAATACAAGAAGGTTGTATTAAACTGGTAATCGAAATTTACAAAAAATTTTCTTCAAAAATCAGAAAAATTAAAATCAAAGCTCTATATGATTCTTTACGAGATAATCTGCGAAAGGAAGCATTAGCTAAATTAAAAATCATATTTATGTTCATGGGCGACATTACAAGATTGAATAAAAAGCAAAAGTTTCGCGGGGAGATTACATTACATCCACGGTGGAATCATATATACGGTATAGGTCATACATATTGGGATGGTGCTCTTCATGATGGAATTGATCGAGGTCCTCATCCTTATCATTGTCCTGTCGGCTGGCAAAGATACTCTTTTTATGTCACTGACGATTTTCAAACAAAATTTAAAGGTTGGTGTATATGTTATCATGGTACGAAATTTTCATACGGCCTATCCATTTTGCTGAGTGGCTTAGCACCAGCAAAAGCCGCCCAACATGGTCCAGGAATATATGTTAGTCCATCCATTATTTATACATCTCATCCAAGGTATTCTGAAGTCAAAAAGATTGAATCATCAGATGAAAAACATTTTTTTCAAGACGGTAACTATGTTCAATTTGTATTACAATGTCGGGTTCATCCGAATAATATAAAAAATATTGATTCTGAAACATTGAAAGTTTCTGACATTATTGATCCTAATATAAACAATGATGTTATTGAATGGGTTATTGATGCAAAAGACAAATCTGTAATGGATTTCAATGACCCAAATTCTACTATTATTTGTACGGGATTAATGATACGTGTGACAGACAATCACCCAGGTTTACTACCTGAATCACACTGGTGGTTAAATTCACATTTATGCCCGAAGAAAGGAAATCAACATTGTCTCTTAGCTATTGACCTTGACGAATTAAAAGAACAAAAAAATAACGGAGTAGAGTGTAATATCGTTTACTAGCAAATAATATTTACGATTTTTGTCCTATTCTTATATCCTATTCTCTCCTAATCCATTGTAGTTTTAATTAAATAAAAAAATTGTTCTCATCTTACTTTCTTACCGTATAGTAGAGCGGGGGTGAAGTATCTGAAACTTAACTTAACTTCTTTGATAAATATCTAATTGATGTATTAACCTAGCGATTACGAAAATAGTGTCATTATTGTTATTAAAATGAATCGCATGACATTATACTCTTGCCGCCTAGTTTTTGACAGGTGATTTAATAGAATAAAGAAATGAATCACGTTCATCAATTCCTTCGATAATTCATCAGATGTGGAAAATACGAGATTTATCGACTTATCCAGTCCATACGTCACATGTTTCATGGCAACAGATAATTCCCGCATATCAAATTCATGTATGGATAGTCGAGACTTGGCACAACTGTTATTATTAATGGGACAACAATAAGTTCACTGCTACATAAACTTTCTCTCCTAATAAAAAATTTCTTTCGAATTTGGGTGAATTGTGGTCTAGTAGATTTAGTAGAGCGTCACTTGCTCTATCTTGTAGTATATAGAGCTTTGCAGCCAGTTTCCGTTTTCGCGCATTAGAGAGTCAAAATGTTTATCTACTACTGTTTTCTGAAGATTTCAGTTCATATTTCTGAATTTTTCAACGGAAAGCAGCAGTGTCACATATCCAGAAAATCAGGCACGCTGGAGATGCCACGAGAGATGCGAGAGATGCCAAACTGCCTCATAACATACTGTTCATTTACTACATATATCTGCAATTCCTGTCAGACATGCATCTCCTGTAGAGACGCGGCATCTCCAGCACATATCCACAGGGAGGGTGGGTGTGGGTGTGGGTGTGGGAGTGGGTGTGGGTGTGGGTGGGTGTGGGTGGGGGTGGGGGTGGGGGTGGGTGTGGGCATGATGTAAATAAACACCCACACCCTCAAGTGGTGTTTCAAGAGTAAGATTTCTTACGTTTGAAGATAATCCACAACCACTTGTATTAAAACTGAACAGACGAGGATAGAAATTTTCTTTTTTCCAGTTTCTCAATGTAGTAGATACGTTTTCAAACGAATTTACGTCTTCCTCATCTGAATCACTATTGCGTTCATTTTCATTATAACTTTCATCAGATGAATAATCTTCCGACTCAGAACCAGATTCTGAATCCGTTGTATCTTCGTCAATTTCTTTGTTAGATTCCTGATAGAACATAATGTCACTCCGTGAATAATAGATATCAAAGAAATATAGAATATATCGAGATAAATCACGCTATTGTTTGAATAACAAGAACAAAACCAATATACATATACCAATCGCAGGGAGAAGAAGAATCTACTCGAATGAGTCCGAAGGAATGAAAGATGACAGAAAAGATAATTCATGACGTCATTATACAATAGTAGAAAGAAAAGAAAAAATAGTATTTGTTACTCAGAAGCGGTCAACTTTTGCCCTTCGTGACCTTTTATGTAAAAAATTCACTCTATATCATTTATCAGATGCGAGTGACTGAGAAGTCTCTTTCTTATAAATGGCATTCCTGAGCAGTTTTCATAATACTAAACATTCTTAAATGATCTAGTTCTTTTTCAAGAAGTTCCGTCAACCTAATTCATATTCTAACCGATTAAATTACATGATAATTGCCAGAAATATTAAAGAAGACTCACAATCATTACTAAATATACATAACCTTAACTGCATAAATATCCTAAATGGAAACGATCATGCAATTTATGTCATAAGATAATCAATAGATCGTGTTTTTTAAAGTTATTCAGACCTCAAAATATGAGAACGCGAATTCGCGTTGCCTGGCCTCAAAGGATTAATTAAATTCTGATAGCACGAATGCTAAACGACTAGCGTTCACTGATAATGGCAATGGAGAAGTTCTAGCATGATTTTTAATTTAATACTAACATGATATCCGAACTAAGAAATCCAAGCATTTCAAGGATTCTCTTTTATTTGGGACATTTTAACTTGCTCCGAAAGGTAAGTAATTGAGGAATCTACGGATACTAAGAGTCCCTTCGTACTTGGTACAGTGTTGAACCGCAGGGAAGCTAAGAATTCCAAGGATTGTCTAGTGCTTTGAACAGTCAGAAGTTGTCGGAAACCAAAGGAAAAACCAGGATTCCAAGAATTTGAAGGATTGAATTGCATTTTGTTCGAGCAACATTAATGTTAAAATCAAGGATTTCCAGAGAACTATTGTCTTCGCAGGTGTTGGCGTGTTGTAGAGATCACCAGAAACCTGAAAAAACCAAGTTCCTTGGTCGCTTTGATTCATTTTCAGTCAATGAGATATATCGAAATTTTTCAAGGTTTCCAGGATTTCGAAATTCTTGCATAGAAACGCCGTGGAATGATACTGGATTTAGTCAGATGATATTTCATTTATGACATAGTATGTAAATATTACTGGAATTTTCAAGAAAATTAAGAATTTCTTGGTGTTTTCGGTGTTAGAGACTGTTTTCGAAGCAACTGTGTCCAGAATTCGAAGGTTTCTTATGCATTTTGGAAGTGGTGATTTCAATGCAAGAATCAAGGATTTCTACAGAACCTACGATTTTCTAGATGTTGAACAGTGTGAGGCAATCTCAGAAACATCTAAATACGAAGTTTCTTAATGATTTTGAGTTATTTTTAATGAATAGGATATATCGAAATTTTTTAAGGTTTCAGAATCCTTGCATAGAAACGGCGTGGGGTCATACTGGGTTTGGTCAGATACATATATTTTGTTTATAATCAGAGTACATTTTATTATAATTTTCGAAAAGAATTTCAAGAATTACGGCGTCACTTCTTTCTGTAGGATGACTGTGATGTTGACAATATAAAAGAATTTTTTTTTGATTTCGGAATCCTTTACTTATTGGATTCGATATTGAATTTTTGTACTCGATCATTTCCGTGATCGACGACATAGAGATTGCCGTCTCGATCGAATGACAAACCGAAGGGCCAATTGAGTTGGTTCGATTGTCCTCCTTTACCGTTACCACCAACAATGACACTTCCCTGTGTGGCTCCTTTGGACCAACGCATGATTCGATCATTCCCCCAATCAGCCACATAGACAGTGCCCAATTGATCGACAACGACTCCTTGACAAGATGACAATTGTGCAAGACCATTTCCTCTTCCTTGATCACCAGCCACAACAATGCCTTGTTTTGCACCTTCCATCCATTTCATCACACGATCATTTCCAAAATCAGACACATATACTGAATGATCTTGGTCGACAAATACGTATCGTGGGGAAGAGAGTTGATTGAGATGATTTCCTCTTCCATTGCCACCTGCAACCACTATTCCTTGAGATTCTCCTCTTCGATATCGTCTCACTTCATCTTTTCCATTGTCAACGACATAGAGAGATCCATTCTCATCCATTGTCAAACCCATACAATGGATGTTAGAGATGATTGTTTCTCCACTTGTTCCATTTCGACGAGACCATCGAACCACTCTTCTATTCGCATAATCGGAGATGATGAGACTATCACTCTCTTTGTCGACAATCATATCTAATGGGCTAGATAACTGATGATCCCCACTTCCTTGTCCATTTCCACCTGCAACCACTTGGCCACTCGTTGCGCCCCATTTCCATTCCACAATACGGTGATTCGCCGTATCAGCAACATAGATTGTTTGATCATCATCAACATACAAACCCCAAGAGCTTGAGATTTGATTGATTCCATTGCCATTTCCATTTCCTCCAGTTACAGTGATACCATTCTGTTGCCATCGAGCATTTGGATGAATGTCAACGGAAGTTCCACGTAATGGATAGACTGAAATAGAGAGAAAGGAGAGAATAAAATGATAAAATAAGAGAGAGGGAGAGAATATAGAGAGAAAAAAGTGAAAAGTTCATTTGAATTTTTGCCAAATCAACATTGTTCTCAATTTTGGCTCATTTCCAATTTTTCCTTTTGATAATGGAAGTGGCGCTATCAAAAAATTTATTTTGTTTTCTTTTCTTTTTGATTTTCTTTATTACTTAATTTAATATAAAATAACTATTGATAGATGTTTCTTTTTTTGTCTGGTACTACATAGATTATATCAATTTACTGACACATGGTTGAAAAAACAAAAGTTTTGTTTTTTCTCAACCATCTTTGATCTTATATTTGAATTAGTGGCATTTAGGAAAGATTTTTCGTAGAATTGAAATATCTTCAGAGACTATATGAATCTATTGAAATGTAAGTCATCCTAATTTATAAATCAGTAATATACAAATATTTTTGCTTGGAAAGAAAAATACAGAGATCACGGTAGTCATTCTGTTACAAATAATGAATTTTTTTTTAGTCTTATGAAAGATATAATTTATGAGTATGCATATATATAGAAAACATTGGAATCTCACATTCTTTTATCGACTAATAGACTGAATGTGAGAGAGAGAGTCATGAATAATAGAAAAAAACTAATTAAAAAGAATTAATGAAAAGGAAAAATATCTTCATCATATTCATATTGATTTTAATAGAATCACCTTTTCTTTATATATGATTGGATATTAATAACTTCATGAGAGAACATTCAATTATTTACTATACTGCTTTGTTTTTTTTTAAGTTCAAATGAACTCGGAATTTTTCCGATAGATTAAGAAAAAAAAGAATAAAAGAATTCATATTTCTACATGTATGTTACAAAAAGAAAAAGAAGAAGAAGAATATCAGAAGTTGAAACTATTTCACATTATTTTTCTTAGGAATTTTTCTTCTCTCTATATGTTCGTTCAATGTATGTTAAAGAAAAAATTCTGGGCAAAAAAAGAAATTTCTTCAGACTACACAACTGAAATTTCTCTATTGTTTTTTTATTTTCTTTTGGTTTTTCATATTTATCTGGAAAATCACATGCTCATTAGAATTCATTTTGTTTTTGTCATTATGTAGTTCTTCTAGAGTCGATTGTTATAATACGTTTATTTTTTACATGTAGTTTTTTTCTACATGTTTTTAGATGTAGAAAAAGCAAAAATAATATGGCTTGTCCGGCTAACGATCACCCAGCATGATTAAAGTGGAATCTGATAATATCTTATTATAGGGTACACTTCACTGTGTTAGGAAACATACTTTATTTTATCTTTTCTTCTAGTGAGTGGAAAAATTATGTACAAAACAGACTTGATATGATTGTTTGAAAATTTTCGTTCGTTTCCGTAGGTTTGAAGGGAACGATAGAAAAGAAGCGAGAATGCAAATCAAAACTAACTGTTAACACATGTTCTGAGAATACGAAATAAAGACTTTCTTTTCACATAATTTTCATTTGATCCATGGTTATTGTAAGGTGGTAGTAATAGTTACCTTAAAACTTGATAAATTCTTGCGTGAGTGCATTACTAAAAAGAGCTCTTAGTTTATTTTACGCTGGAGTGACACATTATTTTTTCAAAGCACTCAAGATTCTTCGTTAACTTTCTATAGACTGTCCCGTGGTAGACTTATTTTTCTGTTATTCTTTTCTATTAAGAAAAAATGGTACATAATACACTGATGCAGCCGTCATTTTAGCATATAATGCTTTTTTGACCTTATAATTAATATTACTCTGTTATTAGCCATTATACCTCTTTCTCATTAGATTTGATAACGATTGAATGACTTTTTCAGTCACACAAAAGTAAAAACTTTAAGATAAATATTATCTATAATTGTATTTATGAGAAGAAGAATTTTCAAAATTCAGTGAAGAATATAGTGGATTATAGAAGATAGGATATGAAATTTAGAGTAACTACTGGATTAAGTATCATCACTTTTGGAAGGATGCTCTTTTACATCAGTATTCCATGTTTCTCATTTTAAACATGATCAGTAACTTTTAGGATGTTAACAAATATGTTACGCGATAATAGTAAAACTATCAAAAGTGTCTAAATATTAACGGATTGTATTTGAATATTTAGGCTGAAGACAGTGACGCGCTTTGAAAAAGAAAAAAAGAAACGCTTGTTCTAGAGATATAAGGATTAACTAGATATTTAAGGATTAGAATTCGCAAGCAAATGAGTGCATTCCGTCAATATTCTGACTATATTATGCAGACAACATTATTTTGAAAAAGAATTGCTGGCATAAATAGACTCTACCTATGGATGTAAAGTTGTTCTTGACTATAAAACTTTTTGTTTTCGAGTTCATCGAAACTTTGGCAATCTGATACTACTAGAGAAGAAACTTCTTTGTATCGATACAGTACTAATATGTGATTTTCCTTCTTGGACACCTAGTATAAAATCAATGGATGCGAAATCTATTCAAATTGAGTCTCATCCCAGGGTTAATAGATGGTCTAAATTCTTCAGGTTCCTGTTAATTTCTGTGAGAAATAAAAGAATGACATGTGGAGTTGCGCTTTATACTTTACAAATACATTATAGCATACTGACAAACTACATGGAAGATGTTCGTTTTTTAGCTGCTCCTTCTGTTAAACTCTGAGAGAGACACAGTGATCTGTCTTTATATTTCAACATGAAGACATGTAAAATTTTGAAAATGAAAGAATAATAAGCTTTCTATACTCTAACAAGTAGAAAAGAAAGCACTAAGTCCTCGAGAATATATGGTCAGAACACGAAAAGTGAGTGTATTACCGCAATATTTATAGTATAACTTTTCAGCAACACTACAAGTTTCGAAACTATTTTTTCGCATTAAGAGGTCTAACTATCCTCTATAAATTACAGTTAAGCCGATCTATTTAAAATTCAAGAATTCACAGAAATTTTGAAAATTTCCATATCTCCCAAACGACAGAGGGCCTTTTTTGTGAGTGCGTTACCGGAATGTATTTTTAGTATAAAAAGTAAACCACAAAATCAATTTGCATGAAACTCATAGATCTTGAAGTGTTTTATTATGTATGCATGTACTGAAAACTTAAAGACTCTACACTTTGTTGTTACTAAGGAAATTGGGTCGAAAGTTGACAAAACGTGAGTGCGTTACCTGCGGACAAGCCGAATATCATGACAAAGAGTTCAAGACACAAAAAAACACAGTATTATCCTGAATATTTTTAGTCATAAGTTATTATCCTTTCTAGAAACCTAAAATATTCGTTAAGAGAAATCTACGCTTAGCTCACATTTCGGACTTGACAAGGTTCGTTTTTCGGAGCTGCACTTTTCAGCGATAACTAATCCTAATGAAAAACATGCTGTTTTTTTTTATTGATCATAAAAAAATTCAGTTCCATAAATTGAACTAGACTAAAGTTTGAACTTATTGATAGATGATTTATACCTTACACTGAGAATTTCTTAAGACTATGTCATTATAAAAGCTATAAAATTTGGGGTTGTTTGTAATTCAAAAGTCAACATTATAGTGAACAAATTTTTCGACACAAAAAAGTAAAATTTTGATAATTATTGTCATTTATTTTCTATTTTATCATTTTTTTATTGAACTTACGCTTTAAAATTAGACCAACAAGAAAAGATCTTATCCTTTCAAGATTTAATCCTACTTTTCTCAGTCCCAAAAATTAAAATATAAAAATATATGATCTTACAAAAATTTTACTCATACTTGAAGTTTTAAAAATAATAAAAACAAAAGGATGTGTTTTTTATATCTTGAATTATTTGAGAGAAGTTTCTATATTTTTTTTTATTTAACTCAAAAATATCTTGTTTTGAGTGAAACGTCTTATTCAAGCGTAATATTGTTACTTTTTTGGACACACTTTTTATTAATTATCTTCGAAACTGTGACAGTTAGAATGTTTGTGTGTTACCTACTACTACTATTACATAGCAAGACTCGGAATTTGAAGTACTCTTACTTAAGTTTTAATTTCTTGCGAAAGTTGATCTCACAATGAAATGCATACCTGGAACAAATTTTTGTAGAGCATCGAACACACTTTTCAAAATTACAAAAAAAGTTGTTTCATCTAGGTATTGTTGTTACTCGTAGAAGACAACTGATAAAGCAAACGTCGTAATACTGTTACACCTTTTTATTTTTCATGAGATTATAAACATCTTCTTTTTTATTGGATCTAGATTCATCGGAATAGGTTGTTTTTTTTCTAACTTCTACATAAATATTTCTACTATTCTTATCACTAAAGATCGCCTCAACATCTAGAGGCACTCCTTAGGTCATCACTATAGCGCTCAAAATTTCCTGTTTTAAGTATAAAATGTATTTCTTCTATAAGTTAAAAACACATTCACACTCGGAATAGTTTCAACTGCTCGATTGCTTTTGAATTTGGATTCTGTTGCATAATATAGACCTCATTGAGACAAGCAAAAACCTCAAAAACGCTAAATGTCTTGTGTCCAAACTTGTAGAAATTTTACTGCAGTTTTAGCTTTTAACATCATGATATAGTATTTCGGATTGAAATCATGTCCACAAATAATTTTATTTAGGAGTAAAATATCATGAAAATTTCCGCTTAAACACAATGTTTTTCTTCCTAAGATAATAAAGTCCACAAAAATCACTCTTATCCCATAAAAGATGCTATAGAATTTTCGGTTTTTGCAGACTTTAATACCTCATGAGCAGTTGAAAAAGCTTGTTAGCGCAGATCCATTTGGGCTGAAATGTGGAATTTACATATTCTACATAAGCTAGGATATTTAATCGCATTTAACACTGGTTGCTACGGTCTGTAATGAGGAGGAGAGCCACCAAAACTTCAAATTAAAACTTACGTGACTTCCACGAAACGTTTCCTCAACATGTATGTACCAGTTACTATGATACTAAGTTAATGATGCCCAGAAACATTGGAAAATAAA